TGGCTTGTCTTGGCCAAGTCTTATGTTAAGGCTTGGTCCCCAGTGTAATGGTGTTGGGAATTGGCCGTGCCTTGAAGAGGTCATTAGGTTATGGGTGCTGCACCCTCACAAAAGTTTAATGCAGCTCTTGTGAGAACCAGATGGTTTTTTGTGAGAGTGGGTTGTATAAAGTGGGTCGGCTTCTTTTTTCCTACTGTCTCTCATCCATGCTTATTCCTTGCACACATGCTCACTTCTTTTGCCATTTCTGGGCATGTTCTGATGCCACACAAGACTTCCATAGAGGCTGAACAAGTGCCAATGCCATGATCTTGGACCTCCAGAACCGTGAGCTAAATAAACTTTAAAAAAAAAAAAGTACCATCAGGCCTCCAGTATTTTGTTATAGCAACATAAAATGGACTAAGACACTAACCCCCAACCCTGTTCTCTTCCAAAAATTCCATACCACATAACATGGGAGTATTTTTATTTTGGATGCTCTTTCCCAAGATGTCTTTTGAACCATCCCTCCCTGGGGCCAGATGATGTTCCGTCATTAACTCTCAGTAATTAGACTCCTCAATCCAAGTCATTTTATCACAAGGAAATGTTCCCAGTCTTCCTTTGGCTCTTATTGGTACATCAGCCCATCTATATGCCCCAACAGGAAAGCTCCTCACTCAGCGAACATAGAGACTAAGCAGAGGAGAGGGCAACCATTGGAGAATGAGAGAATTGCTCCTGGCTGGCTTCTTTTACCTTCCCTTCCTGGACACCGGCAGCCTGTCTGTGGGACTCTCTCGCTGACTAGACCCAGGCCCTGCAATCCCAATCTTCTGTCATTGCATGTTCCGGTGTTTGTCACAAGAGGTCATGGTATTCTGGGATAAACATCATCTGAGCAGAATTTGGAATCAGAAGACCTGCATTTGTGCCTGACACTTTCTGTGTGCTCCTGGGCAATCATCTAACTTCTCAAAACTTTATTGGTGAAATGATAATATCTACCTTTTGTGGTTCTTATCAAACACATGTACATGAAAGGTTTTGGGGACCATATAGACACAGGTCAGTTTGCTCTTGGTCACTGATATTAAAATATCAATTCTGAACCACAAAGCAATCACGGCAGACACAAACATCTCTAAAACATTCATTCTTTTGTAGAATAGAGTGGTCACTGGGGAGGGGCTTCCCAGATAAGAACTGTATTTTCATTTTCTTTTCATTTGGGTGGGTTAAAGAGGCCAGCTTTTACTAATAGAATATGAGCAAAAGGGATGAGGATTACTTTGAAGTCAAGGCTATTAGAAATGCCTGCACTTTCTCTAATTTTCTTCCCATCTGCTTCTCCAGGAAGTGGCAGTTACAAAATAGAAAGAAGTTGAGTCTCTGAACCATCAAGAAGAAGAAAGTCACCTGCTGACCAAGAACATTCTCACTGGATTATTACATAAGTGAGAAATAAACTATTTTCTTGCTGAGCCAGTGAAATATCGGGGTTGTTTTATTATAGCATCTAATATAACCCTAAGAATAAGTGAGACACATTGGCATAGGAAAAGATTTTATGAACAAATCTTCAGTAGCACGGGAACTTGCGCAAAGAATCATCAACTGGGTTCTCATCTTATTAAAAATCTTCTGTGGGCAGGGGATTTAGCTCAGTGGTTCTATTGCCTGCCTTGCAAGTGCAAGGTCCCAAGTTCAATCCCCAGTACTAAAAAAAAAAAAAAAAGCTTCTGCACTGCAAGAGAAACCACCAACAGAGCTAAGAGACAACCTACAATGTGGGAAAAAATTTTTACCAGCTGTTCCTCAGACAAAGATCTACTATCTAGCATATATAAAGAACTCAAAAAAATCAGACTGCCCAACTGTAAAAACCTGATTCAAAAATGGGCATCTGAAATGAACAGTCGTTTCTCAGACAAACAAATAAAAGCAGCAAATAAACATATGAAAAAATGTTCAACATCACTGGTCATTCGAGAGTTGGAGATGAAAACAACACTGAGATTCCACCTCACTCCAGAAAGAATGGCTGCCATCAAGAAATCAAGCAATAACAAATGGTGGTGGGAGTGTGGGAAGAAAGGAACCCTGCTCCCTTGCTGGTGGGAGTGCA